CCATCATAGGGAAGCAGATTGGGAAAGACCAAAAAGCCCTCAAACTCCTACCTTGAATATGGCCCTGTAAAACTCCCTCACTCTCCTCCCCTTCTGCAATCGGTTTCCAGTAAACCAGAATCTAGTGTGTTGATGTGAACAATTTTAAGAAAAAACAGAGAAACAGCTTAGCCCTGAAGTACAATAAAATGAAAACTGTGTGAGTGCCAACCAGGGGTAGACAACGAGGGAAAAAGAAAAAGAGATAGTTTACCCAAACTAAGGTGGCAACTAAGAAAAAGAAAAACAATTTTAAAATTTGTAATAAATGAAGTATATATTTATCAGGGCTCCATTGCCCTCTGGAAGCCCAGCTCCCACCTGCAGCAGCTGCCTTCTGGGCATGTTGTCAAATAACCTGTAGTTTAGTGCAGGGTTGTGGGATCGAGACCATATTGATCCCCAGGGCCCTTCTGCAAAGAGCAGCTCCTGTTCATGTTTTTGTAAAGCCTCCGCTGACTGTGAGCCTAGTGGAGGTAGCAGCTATAAACTGACATTTGGAAAAGGAACTCTCTTAATTGTGAATCCAAGTAAGTCTGAAGGGCCTGGTGGGGAGTGGGAGGGATTCAAAACATCTCTTTCTTCTGATTTAAATTACTTGTGGCCCCAAAACATCCCAGGTTAGTTTCCAAATCTAATGCTTGCGTTGGGAGGATATGATCCCCATCGGAGAGATTAGAACTCCGTTGTACAAAGACTAAATTACCTTCAGCCAAAAACATTCCTATCATCCATCTTAAATGAGATTATTGGTACAGAGAGAAAAATTGAATACAGGAGGCTGAGGGATTCAGCTAAAGCCAGGAAATGTTTGCCAAAAAATAGAGAGGAAATTGGCATATTGTGACTATGCAAATTCAGTAGACCAAATATAAATCTTCCTGATGTAGATACTAAAACTCCCCTAAATTTATCTCCTGAAATAGTGGGACCCTGAGATTTCATTATCTGCAGACAGATTTCTTTTCTTCTTTTACCTTCACTTTGTCTCTTTTGAAGGTTCTATTCTCCATCCCCAGTCTAGTAACTGAGGTCTCCACGGTGGAACTATCCGGTTAACTCAGAGCATTTAACCCCACTTTTCCCTCCATTACCAAAATCATTGATTGAGTCACCATTTTACTTAGCTCATCCAAGGAAAGGGGAAAAAATTCATTTGTCCTCTGAATCCTGAAAATACTGCATTTTATCCTCTCCTTCACATATACACCCACCCTTTCATAAAGGTAATAATGTGTGTTAAGTACTCGGAAAAGTTTTAAGTGCTATATATAACAGTAAGGAACTGCGGTTTCTACTGGCATTTCTTGAGATTCTGTGTTTCTGGTGGGCTTCTGAAAGTGGTGCTTATAAACTAACGCCAGGAAGACGGACTTGTTATAAAATTTGGGTAAATGGGAAAACCTGTTGAAAGCCCCCCAGTCTCCTTTTGACATAAGCTAAGCACCCTGGTTGCTGAGTTTCATTTATTCAGATCTACTTTCTGTGATTAGCAGAGGACGCAGCACTGGGAGAGGCATGCTGAAAAATACAGCCCAGTCGAAGCTCTTGAAAAACTGGATCACTGGGGGTGTAAATGACTAAGTGATGCAGTGCATGCAGCATTGAAGGAGTTATTGCAGCCCTGGTAGCAGCTGGCTTGGAATGCCCTGGGCTAGGTCCTGCCTAAAAGAACATGCAGTGTGGTTAGCCGTGTAGTTGTCACATGCAGAAGTGTCTTGTTCAGCAGGGGCAAAACCAGCACATGTCTGCAACAACAGAAATAGTGAATAACGCGTGATATTGTGGAATCCCTTGCATTCAGTAGTCTCTGAGGTCCTAGCTAATTAAAGCTTCAAGGGGATTCGTGTGAACCTCCTGGGAGACTCAAGGACATCACCTTTTTGGGAGTGGGCAGCTGAGACAGGGGACCAGACAGGAGGTGTTATCTTTGTTGTCTCGCTGGAAACACACTAGGGAGAACTGTGTGGTGGGTTTTCCAGAATGCTGGAGAAGCCGGGAGCCCCTCTCGGCACTTGGTGGGCCTCTCAGGGGACTGAGAGCTGTAACCCCTACACAGTAAAATGTAGAAGAGGCCAGCCTGACAATGCAAAGAAAATACCTGTGCAGGGCGAGCATCTTTCCAGAGCTCCTGACAGTAACTGTAGGCCAGATTTTCCATACAATCGACTCTTCTTCTGCAAGGTCTACCAAGGCAAGGCTGGAGTCCAAGGGACCTATGATTAAATTGTGTTTTCTTTCAATCAGCAGAGCCCAGAGGTTATTGCCACAGCAACACTTTGGTGCCGTCTGTTTGAGAGCTTTAGCTGATGGCAGGCATCCAATTTTGCTTACATCCTGATGTTTCAGTGGCTGAAGTAGGGTGTGGGGAGCTCTGTATACTGTGATGCTGGGAAGGGAAGAGATGCGAAGTGTCGTTTGAATCTCTGACCACTGTCCTTAAAGCAGATGTCACTTCTTCTTTACTAAATAATAGCCTAGTTTCCTCACCCTTTTCATGTTTCATGTTGACGCTTTGTTAGTAAGTGGTTGCTTGACTAGTGACAGTAGCACAAATTCAGTCACACCAGTTGAAGAGTTTAAAAGTTGAGGGAAGTTAAGGAGCTAAAATATTTGGTTTTTTATCTTCTTTGGAGATAGGGTTTGATCACAGGGGTGTCAGATAATGAGACTGCCTGTATTTGGCTACTCACAATATCTGTGGCAGCCACCAGACACAGCCAGGGAGACCCCTGGGCTTCCTATGGGTGTGACTGTCAGCAATGGAAGCTGTGTTTGGTCAAAGGATGAAATTTACAGCAACTCCAAGTAAACATGCCAGAGCTTGCCTCTAACAGAGGCCTCAACTAGCTACCACTATAGCCGCTGGGCAGCTCTGTGAGGTCAGGACACCTTGGGCGAGACTCTAGGTTGACCAGCTGACCCGATTTGCCTATGATTGAGGGGCCTCCCGGAATAAAGGCCTTTCTTTGTTAAACCCAAAACAGCCCCCAGGATAGTTAATCACTGTAACAAAGCTTGGATGTAAACTTTCTGTGAGATACTGCTCACAGTAGCGAGTCATTCACGTTCAAGGCTGACTGGAAAGCTCAGTCAAATGTGCCCATCATTTTCATTCCTTACGCTGGGGCACGAAGGGAAGCTCAGGAGTTGGTGTTTCCTGGGGCTGGAACCTAAACCTCATCAAATTCTAGCCAGCCTCCAGAAAGCTGAACACTCTCCTCACGTCTCCTTGTAATCAATTCATTGTCATCAGGAATGCGTGACACCTCGAAGGAAGGGGAGGACATGTCTTGAAAAGTGATCAGAGAAATTGTCCTGAAAATGATGCTGTAGAATGGAAATGAGACCTTTAGAAAGAGAAATGCTGAACGTGAGAAATCAGTAAGCCTCAGGATGGAAACCAGAGGAAATGGAGAGAGATGGGAAACAGGCCCTTGGGGGGGATGCAGGAGGTCAATGTCCCAGGACCAGACGTGGAAATGGTTCTCTGACCTACGGTGGGAAGAAGCTCTCCCAGATTCAGACCCCTTTGGGTGAGTCTCTTCTCCCCAGAATTAAAGAGGAAGTTGTCTGTGAGCCTCTGGAGTACCCCCGGGGTTCTTGCAAAGGCTTCCATTGCAGTGTTACCACTGGTGGTGCTGGCTATGGAAAGCTGACATTTGGACAAGGAACCACTTTGACTGTCCATCCAAGTAAGTGTAACAGGACACAGCAGCATACTGGAAATTCTGGAATTTCACCCCTGGTGTTAGTTTTGAGAGAAATGCTTGTTGCCTAGGAACCAGATCCTGCTTGAAGTTAACCAGTAGCCTCCAGGGTCCTGTCTCTTCTTTAATCTCAATATTCATAGATTCCTTTTTGGACCTTGAGCCATTGGGTCTATCCCCCTGCTGTTGAGTAAAGCCAATCTTGTCCCTGGAAAGATAGAAAAGAATCTTTGCAGCTTTCAGAAATGTCTCTGGAGATGATGCCCAACTTTGGTGGCAGGGGAGGGTGTCACCCTTTCCAACACACTCTCCTGAGTAACCCATTCTATACCATTCCCTGTCAGAAAGTTCTTCCTTACATCAACCTTAAATTCTTCTTGGTGCAGCTGAGGCCATTTCCACTGGTATCATCCAGAGTGGAGAGGGATAATTGAGAGCAGAGGTTAAATAAGTCCGTGGCATTCAGTTCAGAATGGGTTTCAAATGAAAGCGGAGAGGGAAAAAATGAAAACTGAGCAGGAATCTGAGGTCTTATTTCAAATCCCTCTATGTTCCCTGCACGTCTCCTACGGCTTCTCTAGATGCAAAAACTACAAAAAGAGAGGAGACAAAAAAAAAGAGATGGAAAAAAATACACATCCACTGTGTCCATTCCTATCACTGAAACCACCAGCCAAGGGATTACAATTAATTCCAAAGAGTTTCAGATACAGGGCTTACTGCCTTTCTCCTCATGGTGACTTGTATCCTTGCTGATAATTAGAGAAGACAGAAAGATTTGGCTTTGGTGTGTTTGCTGCTGCACCCCACCAGGAAGAGAGGGAAACTCTGACTGTTTTTCTAAGATTCTTAAAGTTCCTTCTGTCAGTCGTTGTAAAACTCCCCGCTGCAGGGAGAAGCAAGGCAGCTCTGAGAAGCTGGTAGTTAGAAAGGGGACTTGACTAACCGTGAAGCCAAGAAGCTGGAAAGACCCAAACTCACAGTGTCCCCCAGGTATTCTTGCATTTTAGGACTTTTGTCCTTTCCTTGCAAGGATGCAAATGGAGTCAAATGGAAATGGATTAAGGAGGCTGGAGCCCCGTGGGTGCTCAGAAACATAAATGGAAGGAATGACAGACAAGAAGGGGGAAACATTAAAATATTAAAATGTAGGAATATGTCTTTAACAGCAGCGTGATAAGACTGAGATGGTGAGGAAAGTGTCAAAGAGAAGGGTGACATCATTCCGATTATATTGCAGGCACTGTTTTCATAGGCTGTCAGTTGATGGCAGAGTCCTCCCATGCCAAAGGGATGAGAGTCCAGGTCTGTCTTTGCGTAGATCAGGCAGACAGCATAGTCCCTACTTTGCATGTGGGGAGGGGGCAGGGGGGAGATCTTCTGGTATCGTGGCCTCTGTCTGATCCACTGAAGAGCAGTGTCAATTCGTATCAGGTGGGTGTGGAGCTAGAAGTACTGCTATAAAGCTGAACGTTGGCTTGTTATGACCATCTTGACTGTGCAAGATGCCTCCAAGAATAGCCTGGGTCTAATGAACAAGGGGTAGGTTGGACCAATATTGCCCAGTTTTTGTTGAATTTCTCCAAGGCCGATACTGTGGGAGCCAAAGCTGAGATGTTGACATTTGAGCCTGGGAACCCTTTGACTGAGATATGCCAAAGGGCCAACACCACCTTCAGAGCTCTGCTTTTATTGTTAGCTCTTCAGCAGTTGTCATTTCAGCAAAAAAGCATCCACTTGGAAAAGTCAGCTCTTCATTAGCCAGACAAATGAGGATAACATATTGACCAGTGATAAAGAGTAAGGAGCCCAGATCTCAGCCTCTGAGATGCTGGCATTTCCAGCCCTTTAATCACGGCAGCCAGGGAACATATGCTGTCTCAGAGAAGGCAGATCGATGGTGCCTAAGGACCTGATGTCACCAAACTGGGGCCTGGAGATGATGGAAATGAGATGCGGATGGGGACATTGTATGGATGGGGGGATAGTAGAGAAGGGAGAAGGAGACAAGGGAACTCACTGATGCTTTTAAAACCCTCAACATGTCAGAAGTTGCAGTGACCCCAAGGTGGAGAAGCATGTGTTCCTAGCAAGTTTCCTACCATCCCCTAGAGCAGCGGTCCCCAACCTTTTGGGCACCAGGGACCAGTCTCGTGGAAGCCAATTTTTCCACGGACCTTGGTGGGGGGGTCGGGGGTGCGATGGTTCAGGAGGTAATGAGAGCGATGGGGAGCAATGGGGAGCTACAGATGAAGCTTCACTCGCCCGCCGTTCACCTCCTGCTGTGCAGCCAGATTCCTAAGAGGTTGTGGGCCAGTAGCAGGGGTTGGGGACCCCTGCCCTAGAGAAGGGTGACATCACTCTGACCCAACTGTGGCCCAACACTCTCAGATCCTGTCCCATAGGTACCTGAGATGCCTTTTGAAGTGGCATCAAAAAAGACTGGGATCTGAGATCGCTAAGAGTCCCCTGTCAGTTATAGTGAAGGGTCGGGTGGCTGTGTGACAGCTACAGCAAGCTGACATTTGGGCAGGGGACAAGCTTATCAGTCGTTCCAAGTAAGTCCGCCCGTGACTCTGCCTGTGGAGTGTGGCAGGGCTAACTGTCACAGGCATGGGGCTCAAATGGCTGTGCAGGTGGCGTGGCGGTTGAAGACACAAAGCTGAGGGAATCAAGATGTATTAACTGTGATCAGAAAAGAAGGTCAAAGAATGGCAAATGTAGGTTTAGTGCTTAAAAGGTAGCATAGAGAGCTTGGGGTCTGAACATGGCAATTTGAAAAACAAGTCGCCAACCTGTGTTCTCCTTCCCACCCCCTCACTGCTCATGGGGGACAAGGTTGGGGGGGGTGAACAACGGACACTGCCTAACGGGGTGTTAGGGAAATGAGGCAGGTGGGAAAGGAGCAAGTGATCAGAGCCTCATACTGGGTTAATCCCAAGAAAAGGAATTGTTCCAGAAATTTCACAAAGAAAGAAAAGCCTTCCCAGAGTTAAAAGATGTAATGAAGAGACCTAGTGAAAATGCATTTCAGAATCATGTGATCATCAGGAGAGAAATTAAATCTTCAGAGGAAAAGAATTTTTTTTAATGTCCATGCATAAAACAAATGGGCCCACACCTTTAATTAGACAGCCAGCCACACACAATGCATGTTAGCCTTCCCCTTGGTCCCCTCTCAGGGGGACTCAGTCCCTCCAGCCGCTCATGTTCACAGCTGCTCTAAGCCCTAAAGCTCGTTTCCACTAATGCCCTTGCCCCTGCACCTGCGCAGGGAAAGAGACAGTCTGTCTGTCTGTCTGTCCCTCAGGTGGGGCCCCAGGTGTCAGCAGCGGCTCTGTCTTCTGCCTGGTTGTTGTTGAGCTTCCTATCACAGTGGAACACCGGCAGCCAGAACTTCTATTTGGGGAGAGGGACAAGTTTGACCGTCATTCCAAGTAAGTCAAAGAAAATTTTCCATCACCTTTGTGTCGAGCAAAGTCTTTAAATTCCAGAAAGAAAGCGTCAAAAGTCTGCTGCTCTGTTTCTCTAAAATAGGTAGAATTTCATCTGGAACAGAGCAAAGAGCCTCTCCCGTCCACCCCAAGAATGATTTATGCCATGACAGGTTTTTACTTCCCTGCCTGGAAACCCCTGGGAGGAGGGGGTCAAACAGTGTCGTCTGCAGCCATGCCATCCCCTGCAGCTCGCCCCTCACACCAGCACTGACCAGAGGAGCGTGGCCCTTTTTGGCACAGGCCACAGGAGCAGAGAATGAGGGGCAAGCCTCAACTGAGAGAAAATAGGCCAGAAGGCTAGAGAAGGGTAAAGAGGCAACTTCAGAGAAAGCTGAGCTATGGAATGGTATAAGAGGATGAGGAAAGATGGCAGGGCTGTCCAGACTCACCTGTGTTTAGACCCCAGGGATTCACTGACAGCACCTGAAGAGAGAAAGAGGATGTCTAGTCCTCTCTCTGAAGAAAAATTTGACAGAAAAATCAAAACAGATCTCACATGTCAAGCCTCTCCTAATTATAGCTTTTTTCCCACTTTCTCTCAGTGGGCCCGGCAGGAAATGGTATGAAGGGATCACTGGCGGCTTTGATGGTGAAGCACTGGGAGGAGGGGGTTCACAAGAAATGGGAGGGAAGGGCACAGTAGGGTTTGGAGAGATTGGAGCCATGGTTTTTGTAATGACTTAGAACACTGTGTGTCTAACTACGGAAACAAATTAACCTTCGGGAAAGGAACTAGACTCACTGTTACACCAAGTAAGTACCTCATCCTTGGTCAGCAAATCAGTTATTCTTTAATTTCCAGGTGGCCTATGTAAGATTCTGGAGGTCATACTAGACTGTGCAGGCTTACGAGGATTTCCATCTGTCCTTTTTCATAACTGGTAGAGATGGGTGCCAGCCAAATATCTGAGTTTTCTGGGGAAACTCCAGTCTTGAATATTTAATTCAAAACTGGAAAATATGATTCACAATTCTGTTTTTGCCGCTGCCATCATGTGCTAATGTGACATGTGAAGAGGATTTAGATAGAATAAATGCATCTTCACTTTTATCTTGTATGATAATTTGAACTTTGAGTACTTGCAAGCATTTGGAAGAAATGGTTGAAACGTAGGCTATCAAAAAGACAAGAAAACCACAAGACCCAGAGAGGCAGGCAGACAGAATGCCAGAGAGTATATAGTTTTACAAAGTTAGTCCAGTGTGTGTCTCTCTTTGCAGATGGCAAAGGTATTTTGAAAGGTGCTAAGAGCTGATGCTCTGGGTGGGGCAGAGCAATGGGACGCTGAACACTGATCCCAAGGGGAAGGCTTAAACGTGGAAAACTCGGGGGGTGGGGGGGGTTCCCCAGTGGAGTTTATCAGTGTGACAGCACATCTGCATCTAGTAAATTACAGTGTGGATAAGGCACACAATTAACTGCTAAAGAAAAACTACGTCTGAAATGATAGATAGATAGGTAGATAGATAAGAGAGAGACATAGAACACGAAACAAAGAATGAGATAGATACTGGGTATATATACACAGAGTAGAGTAACATGAAAAGCATGGGGCAAATAAATTTCTTGCATCTGAAATTAAAAGCTGTGGAAAATCTGAACATGTTCACTTTGTAACAAAAGACAACCTCACAAACACTGGAAGAGCAAGAACTGGACAGATGGAACTTTTCCAAGTCTGAATTTCTCAACTGTCTTAACCATTCAGTTACCTAGAGGAATCTTTTTCTCTCCTTTCTGCATTAGAAATTAAAGACATGAGTATTGAGGGCTTGGATGGCTCAGACTCTTGTAGTAAAAATTACATTATAAAAGCACCTCCCAGCTAGGCTGGATAAAGCACCTTTAGGCATCAAAGCCTTTTTCTTCTCTGTCTGGAGAAGATAAGGAAGTGGTACTCTCCCCACTCTGTCTAGGAACAGGGAGCTCTGAGGGTGTCATAGGGCTACAAAGCAAGACCGTGACAGAGCTGAGCTGTGGGGACCTAGTAATGGTCAGTCTGCTCCCTGCCACAGACTCCATAGTAGCCAGAAGTGTTCAAGGGACTGTCCCCAGGTGAAAACATAACACACCCAGTGAAAATGCCACTCTCCTCTGTGCCACCAAGAGCAACTCAGTAAAAGAATGCTTTACCCAGCAGGGGACAGTCAGAGTGGCTCTAATCCAGCTCAGAGCCCCAAATACTCGAAAACTGTATGTGGAAGCCAGCTGTAAAGAGTTCATTTCCAAGCGATGCTTCCAGCAATTTTTACTGGTTGGTGATTGCTATGAGTTTTGAAATTGAAGGACAATCACAGCAGAGTAGAAATGTTTGGAACAGGTGAGTCTGATTGGGATTAATGAGATGAAAGAAAATTCTGGCTAGGGGGCTAGAAGAGCACTGAAAGAAAAGATACACTGAACCTTCGGAGCATTCCTTCTAGAGAAGAGTTGTAGCATTTATTCTAGCCCAAGAAGCAAAGAGCAAACACAAGCCAAATTCCATACACAATCGACCTTTCCACACTGGGAAGTTTCTGTGATCATTCCAATGTCTCTGGCTTCTTGGCCAAATACCAGCAAGTCCTACATGCAAAGAGGAACAGTCCTCTGTTTCCAGGACCGAGTCACTCACCCCCATGCCACCACACAACCACGCCGACAAGCTCTTTTTGTAGAGGAGTTTGATGCTGTGTGAATTCTGGAAACACACAGATCTTTGGCTCAGGAACCACTTTGACAGTCAAGCCTCGTGAGTATAGAACACACCCTAATCCCAGTCTGTGTTTCATTACAAATCAAATAGACTCTAGTTTAGAAGGATTTGATTCTAAAGAGAGAAAAAGTGAAGTTTCAGGAGCAACACAAACGCTTTATTAATGTGATTCACTTAAGAGTTCCCATGCATTGCCTTTGAGAGAGTTAAACACACCAATTAACTGGTGTGACCTACAGCTTTAAAATAGAACTTAAATTTTTTTTTTTAATGTCAGCGTCTCTGTGGAACCACACTGCTTGCCGTTTGGGTGTCTAGACTTGCAAAATGGAAACCTTAGCCTGTGGTTTTGAGCTGAGGGATTTATCCTGAGCCTGTGACTTGGAGAGGTGTGAGGGAAGATGCACACTGCTTGGTTTGTAGAGCATTTCGGGATCAGTGTCAGGAGGAAGCCAGGCAGACAGGTTGGTGACGTGACCCTCGTGACAGATGTCCGCCCTGTTTCTGTAAAGCTACTGACAACAGTGAGAAGAGTGGCAGCGGAGACAAGCTGACTTTTGGGACTGGGACGCATTTAGCAGTGAGGCCCAGTAAGTCTGAGAGGAAGGTGAAACATCTATGTCTCTGCCTATTATTTGTTCTAGCCTAACGTTTGAATTGTCCTGTTTTAGATGCCAGATATACAAACCATAACCCCTTTAAATGTGTGTGACTGAGGGCCTCCATCCTCTCCATCTTCTATGTGACAGGGGAGCATTTTGTGACCTTGTCGGCTCTCATGAAGAAGCCAGCGCTTTTACAACAGCAACAAGGGAGGGGAGGAAATGACCAGCAGGTCCAGCCAGGGCTACAAGCTGTCCCTGGCTTCAGAGTAGCTGTAGATAGAGGTTCTGGAGGTTCAGGGCATGGGTCTCTGGCAGAGGGATTTATGCAAAGGGTTGACTCGAGGTGTGAATACGGGAGGAGGTATTAACAGACTCACCTTTGGAAAAGGGACCCAGCTCATCATCCAGCCCTGTAAGTGCTTCCACCTGGGAGATGGGGATCTAAATGCAGACTCCATGGGGACATTTCCAAACCCTGCTGATGAGCCTCTGGTACCACTGCCACATCAGCACGGTCCTAAGCACCCAGAAGGCTTTGAGCCATGTAAGTGCGGGAGATGATAGTCTGGAGGTCTCCTGGGTGCTTTTGTGAGTGTATTTGACTCCAAAGGCATTACTGGGGGTTCTGGGCTCTGGCAGACAAAGGATACCACTTAGAACTGAGGCATGAACATATAAGGACCGTTTTGTTAGCAGCACCTTTGCAATGAAAATGACTTTCATGGGTGTTGTGGGCATGGCTGTGTGGATAGAGGTTTGATTGTTTCTCCTTTTCTGTCTCCATGTCTTCTTCTCTGCCTGACTTAGGGCCCTTAAGTTTGAACAGTTATTAATCATTTGATTTTCTGAGTCCCAATCATTCATCAAGTTCTGACAAGAGAGATTCATTAACATAAAACCCAGAAAGGGAAAGAACAAAGAGCTCAATTCCCAATGTCTGGGGAGTTGAACTTGACAACTCCTCAGGCTTCATTAACTAGCCAGCACCCCATGATCAGGTGAGGTCAAAGAGGGCCCCAGGCAGGTAGTATCTGGTCAGAGCCCTGCTGCCCCCAGCTGTGCAGGGGTTAATGCTGCAGAGTTTAGGAGATGGGGATGGATCCCTGAGGGCTTGCCCAGGCTGCCCATCCATGGGGAAACTCTGAGTAAGGGAGTGCAGGGTGGAGACCAGATGGGAACTCCAGTGGCAGGTTTCTGTCATGGAGCATCTCACAGTGTGGCCACGGGCAGTGGCAGGAAACTCATCTTTGGGACTGGAACGAGACTTCAGGTCACCCTTGGTAGGTAACAGGAACCATGAGGTAACAACTGTGTGTCCTTTAAAACAGGGGTGCTCTTGGGTGGGACATCCTAGCTGGAAGTAGTCCTGCCTTCATTCCAGTGGGAGGGGGTCTCACTGAGGGTACCTGCATTCCATCAGTATCTGGGTTATTCTTATTTCTACTACTGAGGCTTTCCTTTCCACCTGTGACAACAGAATTCTCCCTGCTTCAAGCCTCTTCAGTCTTCATTACTCTGTTTTCTTTGGAGCAGCAGGTTTGGGAATTAATTTATCATCAGGATTTTCTCACTCTGGGCAACAGAATGAGAAGGGTTCTCAAAGAGGGAGTAGAGAGCCCTGCTTCTCCTGATAAATTTT